TTGGTACCTAGCCATAAACTGAATGTGGCAGTCTCATGAAATAAACTCACAGGTAAAGGAATTGCTTGCAAATTTCTCTCCTTCGTAATTCCTGTCATGAGGGTGTATAGAGGTAGGGAAGAAGGAAGGTTGCTGCTCTGTGCTTACACAGTGTCCTGGATTCCCTGCAGGAAGCAGGAGGTGGCACCCATCAGAGCATCTCTACAGCCTTTTCAACAGCTTAGCCCAGGATGGCGTGCTCCCCTTGTTTCCCCTTATGATGAAGACATCCTCATTAAACTAAAAACTCAGCTTATGTTATAAGGTTGCTGCTCCTCTAAATTTAATGTGAAGTTGTACACGAAGAGCCACTATTATAGACACCTTTCCTTGTTTCATACATTGGCACTGCTGAAGCAGACAGTCTCCAAGATTTCATACCCTTGACTCTGTCAGGACACTTGAGTAAAGCTCTGCTCACAGGGTTTCTGCAGACATCCAGATTTTCAAGACTTACTACAGAGCAACCTTTTCATGAAATTAACAGGATGCTTCTTACTGACTTCAGTGGTAGCTGAGTCAACTGCTCAGAAGCTGAAACCTGGGCAGCCCTGAGCACTTCCTGGCTCTGCTCCACAGAGCACTCCATGTGTTTAATGTCTGAGCATGTGAAAAGTCCCTTTGAAGTCAGTGCCCCTACAGTATGTCCTGATTAAGCAAGTTCAAGATCTCTGATCTCCTGGTCACACCACTGGCCCTGTGCACTTGAAAACATCATCTCCTCCATCACCTCTGCTGAGAGGAATGCCACAAGCACTTAAACCTAGCTAGTAAATGCATCTTGTATTATTCAAGCATGCCTGAGTAAAGCTGATAATTTTTGAGGCAAAACAGAGATCTGCATACACACACTGGCTTTGCCTCGGCTGAGGCAGAAGGTGAACCAAGCCCAGTACAGACCTACCTTTCACAGAGGCTGAGTAGGTGGAAATGATGCAAAGGAACAGCACGGTAAGAAGAATCATGCTGGACTCTGCCGAGCTCCTGACTGCAGCATGAAGTGTGAGAACCTCCAAGAAGTGAGCTGAGAGTGGAGCTTGCAGAGAGAGCCACAGGCTTGGCCACACTGTTTATCTAGATGTAGTAAAGGTCAGATTCCAAATTCCACACTCAGGTACTAAGTTCATTAAAGGACTTCCAGTTAATTATTAAGAACTAAGGTAACTGGCAGTTTCTACCCCATTTTATCGATCACCCTGGCTTTCATTTTTGAGTGAAAAAATGAGCCCACACAGACCCATTACTGAGCAGCAGAGCCCACCTCCAGTGCTGGAAGAACCAGGAGATCCTGTTACCACTCCTCTCCCTGAACGAAAGCACCATCAGCTCTGTTTCTGCCAGGGGCCAGATCCTGACCACTGTTTCCACTGTCTTGCATCATCTGTCATCATCTCTGAGCAACCACAGAAGCAGAGGTTTTTTAAGGGTCTTCCAGGAAGCAGAAGTACATGGGATTTATCAGTGCCATCCCAAAAACTGATCCTAGTTCATTACAGACTCAGATGTGATGTCAGTGCCTGCTGCACTGTACCATACTAAATCAATGTTTTTTCTTTCAGCATCCCCAGCCTCTATCTTACATCATTGCAGTGGCAGAGGTTAGAGCCTGAAAGATGAGATAAAACAAGATATTTTGTCCCATCTCTGTGAAGGGTACTTGCTTGGCAAGGTCTGGGAGCAGGGCAAACCAAGCCCTTCACCCTTTCCTTGTGCTTCCTTCACCACCTCCCTTGAAAAGGCCCTGGCTGACTAACCCACATGCTTCCCTTTTCTTCTGACAGTAAATCTCAGACCCTCTCACACTAACCTCATGGCCACAGGGCTGTTTAAAGGATGTCCTTCAGCTGTCCCTCAGGTGTCAGTGGGGCAGCAGGCCAACCCTCCGTGTTTCTTGGCATGCCCTGCGAGGCTGCATGCCTCTCCCCTGCACACAAAGCCTTCCCAGCTCTGTGAAGAGGCTGGACCTGCTCCTGCCAGTAAAGGAAACACACAAGTGAGCCATCAACACAGTCTTCCAATTCACTTCCACAGGTTTCTTTCATGTGACTGTGATCTACACACACCCCAACCCAGCAAGTGCCACCCCAGGCTGCAATTAGATGCTCCCAGAGGGCCCCATCCTCTGTAAGGGATGGTAAAGTGAGAGCAGCCTTCACCTTGAGTGGTATAAGTGCCTCCTCTGTTTTTCTGTGGTAAAGAGAAGTTGAGCAAACACTGTGGATGTCAAACATTGCCCAGGAGTGGGAAACAACAGCTCCATGCCACTGCTTCTCCCCCATGCTCATCTGCACCTTGTGGAAGTTCCCCCTGGGCCTTTTCCTGTATTTTGTTTGTGTGTGCACACGTGGGAGGGAGGAGATTAGGAAACCCCAGGGGTCTGCTATTGCTTCTTCCCCATTTGTGGCTGATTATGCTGCTTTCTCAGCACAGGTGAGAATTCACATGCTCCCGAATTCAAGGGGCTGAGGCAGAGGACTCCTTTTGTTGCATTTAGTAAACAAAGAGCTTTCCAGGTTTTCTGTGCTGTTTTGAAAAAAATAAGGACACTATCTTAGTGCAAAACCAACTCCATCTAGAGAAAGACCAGAGATATGGATCCTGCTTCAGAAAAGCAGCATTGACATTTTACTCAGAAGGGGGGCGTGATGTTGGTCTGGAATCTGAAGATGAGCAATTGTCCTCTTTCTGTGCTCTTGAGACACAAGAAATTTATTTCTTCTTTGAAATAAAATATTTTTTTAAAAGGCCTCTGTTACAATATCCCTGGCCAGATCCCCTGCTGATGTAAATCCCCATCTCTCTTTGGACACCACTGTATCTGAGCCAATTACAGAGCCAAGGGCATGACTGCCACGTAGAGAAATTTTGTCCATACATTTCCACGTGCACGCACATTTATACACCCTTAAGCATACCAGTAATACAGAGCTGGGGCGCTCTTCAGACATCTTAGAAACAGGAGGCCTGAGCCTCACCTCAGTTATGGCCAGAGCTAATCAGCAGTGACTTCCTTTCAGGCAGATTACACCCGTGCAAACGGCGCTGTGCCCACCAAAGTCCACTCCACGTACAGGCTGTGGGCTCAGCCCCTCATGGATGCCTCACGCCATGCTGGCATACAGACTGGGGTCAAAGTATTCCTGCTGCTGCACATTTTCCAGAGTCCAAACTATAGGGCTCATATCTTTATACAACCTAATAAAACTAATGAGATTTCCTCCCATGTTCTGAGTCAACAAAATGTTTCTTTCTGCCTTCTCTTCTGAAGCAACAGCACAAAGATCTTGCTTTTCAACTCAAACCTTCAAGTGTAAGCACCAAAGTACCCCAGTGCATCTTTGCCCTTCAGCTGCTGCCCATGTGCCCCCAGCTCCCAGGCTTTGGGTGAATAAGACCCCCTGTTTCTGCCACAGGGGTCAGGGGGTCAGAGATACCCATCCAAGCCACTGGCCAAAGCCAGTTTGCACCCTGAGCCTTCCTCAAGAGCGCTGCAGTCAGGCCCAGCTCACAGGGAGCAATGACATTGACCACACCTGAGCCTCCCATGAGTATCTTTTTTCTTCTCCATAGTCTGCCTCTTGAGCTGCAGCTTTAAGCTCTGGAATATTTAGTTCTTTCTGTTGCTGGGAGGGAGGGTGACTCACCATTGGGATCAGCATCTTGAAAAGGTCATGTTAAGGCCCTATAAAATAATGAAATTTAGATAGACAGCTCTTTCTCAATATTTGCAACTGCTCAGTTTTCCATTTCACTTTGTCACCGCTTGGCAGACGTTGGAAAACATTGCATGATGCTCTGTTGTTGTCTGAGGACACAGGGGGTTGGATGAGCAATACTGACGCTTTGCAGAGGGCACTATGAAAAAACAAACTGCGTAAGCAGCTTCTTCATTCTAGGAAAAAGCACATCTGAGAATGACATGACTTTGTCAGATGTCTTTTACTTTTTTCAAAAAAAAAGGGCTTCTGTTGGTAACTCATCTGCTGCCTTTCAGTGACCAAAAAACACCAAAGAATTCTCCACAGGGAGACTGGAGCATTTGGGCTTTTATGAAGCTGGTGTGTCAAGCTAGATATTAATAGTAACGTCAGCGAGGTTTTAAATAGACCCCGGCAAATGCAAATCTAGCTATTTTTAAAGCAATGCACTGAACAGGAATCACAAATTAGATCAAATACTACAGCAAATATTAAATTCCAGCAGCAGTTGAAAGGTCAGTGTCCCACTATAGTGACACCACACAGTTTTGTGAGTGCAACACAGCTGTGGCGAACCCGAAACCAGCACTAAAACTGTCCGAGTGTGTATATGTGGCACCAATGAAACCTGAGCTAAACACTGATGCACACGGAAAGGGGATTATGGCAGCGCACGCTCGTGTGTTTGCTAACTTTGTGCGCCTCGTTAACCAGGGGCAAACAGACATCTACATACTCAGGCTGCCCAAAATACATTGTTCCCATAGAATATCATCCTAGTCTCCAGAACCGACTCCTGTAACAGGGCAGCATTCTTTCGTGAAGTTATCTGGCGGCGAAAGAACGCTGCCTTCGCTGGGCATTGACACCGGAGTTTAAACAGCTAATTGTCGGCGGCCTTTAAAAATAGGAAGCGCGAAGGCGCGGCCCTCTCCGGCGGGGGCGGAGGGAGCGCGGCACTGCCAGGGACCTCTGCAGCTACAGATCTGCCCTGAGGAATGCCACCAGCCAAAAATACGTCGCTGGCCCCTGCCTGAACTCAGCGGGGCCATCAAACCATCAGATAAAAATAAGCTTTTCTCTTCCTTTTCGCTGCCCTTTACCCCCACGGAGCCCCCAAAGCCACGGCTGGGGGTGTGAGGGGGGTGGCGCGAGCCCTGACACCGCCCGCCGCTGGGGGGCGCGCTGCCCGGCGGCCTCGCGCGACCGCCGCTCTGCTTCCCCCTCGCGCGCGCCTGCGCCTGCGCGGCTCCGCCCCTTCCCACGCCGGGCGCGCGCGGGGCGGCTCGCGGGTACGTTGAGGCCCCTCGGGGGCGGGGGGGAACATGGCGGCCCCCAGGGCCCTCAGCGCGGCCCCGCACCGCGCCCGGTCCGGCCCGGCCCGGCCGCCGGGGCGGGACACGGCCCTCCGCGGGCCTGCGGCCGGCCCTCTGCAGTCATGAAGGGTGTATGGCGTGTCCGTGTATAGATACACGTACGCTTGCGTGTGTGAGAGTGTGTGTGTGTACATGTGTGTGTGTGTCTGTGCGCCTGTATGCACGCACGCAGGCAGGCGTGCGCGTAGGGCTCAGGTGTGCGAACGCCCTCGGACAGGGAAATCGGGATGTGCCAGCAAAACCTCCGTTGGGTTTCTGCTGTGCTGTGTGTTTCCTGTCTCTGCTGCCGCTGCAGGAAGCAGGGGGTTGCTGTTTCCTGCCTGGTGGAGATGCAGCGTTCTCCACAGAGGAGTGCTAGTGCGGAAAAATCGTGCTCGCCATGGGAAAGGAGTGGTTATAATTGTAATTGGTTTGAACCGAGAGTGTTTTGCTGAATAACATTTGTTCATCCTTTTACTTACTGTGTTTGTCTTCTGACAGTGGCCGGTGTCTGTTACTGTCCAGTGTCTTCTGTTTTTGGGAGAAATAAAAATTAATTTTGAAGGAGTACAGCTCGTTCACACTTCTTTCCCCCCCCCCCCAAATGGCTTTAGTCACTTTAAAATTACATACTTCTGTATTACATATTTCTCTAATATGCTGCTGTAGTTATATTGCAAGACACGTCTTTAATTCTTTGTGTTTGTGTACACATCCTGCTAATGCTTTTTTTTTCTATTACATTTGATTCAGTATGATTCCCTAATTTTATGCTGTTGTTCTTTTGCGAAGTTTTTAATTAGAAACTATTCACTACCTGCAGATCTAGCAGGCAGAATTTGACTCTCAGAATATAGGTTATAATCTTTCTAGAATGTTCCATGTTATTATTTGCAGAGGCTTTAAACAAACAAAAAAGGCCTTCTCTTATTCTTTATTCAGGCTTATAGTAGGTGTTGAGTGGTGTTTATTCTAGTTGAGCATCTTATTAATGACACTTAATATCACTTTGTTTCCTAGAGAACTGGTGAGCAGAAGAATTGTTTTTAATGAAATATCCAGCATGTGCTGACAAACAAGTCAGAAAACCCAGCCAAAAGCTAATGTCATCTGAGTCACCCACAGACAGTCCAGAGGTCCCAATGGAAAATACCCCATTCCCTGAAGTTCCTGATGTGGAAGGAAAGGTGAAGTCAAATGACAATCCAGTAGAGAGAGTGGAGGCAGGCTCAGGCAAGGAAGAATGCCTTGAGTCCATGTCCAAGAGGCAAAGGAAGAAGCTGTTGAAGCAGAAGCAGTGGGAAGAACAGAAAGATCTACGGAGGTATGGTTTGCAAAGCAGCTTTCCATGGTTCCCGTGTTATATTTAGTGCTAATAATAACGACATGTCAGCAGCATGTGCTTGTGAATTGCTTCATCAAATCAAGGCAGTTGAACCAGTTTTCTCCCATACCAGGTTTAAAGCAGTAGCCCCAGGCTACTTGGTCTGCACTCGAAGAGGCTGTAGAGGTAAGCGTCCCCTCCTCATCCTAGAATTGTTCCTCGGCTTCAGGAGGATGTCAGGAGGAATTCAAACGTGCATGTTGTTATTTGTCAGAAGGGAGACAGAACGTGTGATCTTGTTCTTCTTTTCCTGGTGCTGTCAGACTTGAGATTCTTACAAAGATGCTGAATAAAAGCAGCCACATTTGACACATGAAGTGCTGTGCTATAAGTTACACTGACATACAGAGCTTCTGTTTTGTTGTGTTGAGAGAAAGTGTATCTGCAAATGCACTGATGGTGGTTTATTCTTATCCCACTGACTGCCAGGTCCTCCTTCCCAAGACAGTGGTTGTTGCTGTCTGAAATTTGACCTCCCAACTGCTCCTGTCAGAGGACAGGATGATGGAACAATTTCTTCAGAAGCCTTTTGAAAAACTGTTCAGTGAAACAGGATGTAAATTGTCTTCCTTATTCTGATCCTGATACTGTGATCGCTGTTCATGTGTAAACTAACCACTTTTTGGCTAGTTCTGTTATGAGACTTGACTCGAGCATCTTCAAATCCATGAGACTCCCAGCATTGGGTTAATTGAGCAAGTTGAATTTGTGTCTGATGTCTGTCTTTGTAGGTATTTGCAGAACTTCACAAAGGCGGGAGGGGGTGTGTTTTGTGCTGGTCTCAGTGTGGCACAAATGCAGGCAACAGGCTGAGTTTAAACTATCACAGTCACAGGACAACCACTTTGGTCCTAGAAGTCTGCATTTGTGTGCACAACACAGTACCTCAGCAGAGCTGGCAGCACTTTTTGAGGATTGATTTGTTTGTTTACTTAGGCAGAAACGAAAAGAAAAACGCCAGAAGAGAAAACTAGAACGTCAGTCAAAATTGGATTCCAGTAGTGAGGGGAATGACAGAAAGTGCATGCGCAGGGAAGTTGTTCCCAGCACGCTTCGCCTCATCGTGGACTGCAGCTTTGATGACCTGATGGTGTTAAAGGTAAAAGGAACTTCAGATGAACTAGGTATATTTAATTCTCTTAAATATAGACTGTATGTTCTCGGGATTTTCCCATGGGTTACAGACTGAGTGTTGTCACAGTGATAAACCTGTTTGATTCCTCAGATTAATTCTGTATGTTCATTAAATCCCTGTGATTTTTTTTTTCCCCTAGAATAATGTAAATCAAGCACATGCATAGAGGTGTCTAAGTACACCTGTGTGGAAGATGTGTGTGTCTCCTTGTCGGCATAATCCCCTCACAATGGGTGCTTTTTCTCTCAGAATCTGATGCCCATACTCTCTGAGTAGTCACTTTAGCCAGTTAAAAACTTCCTTTTTCTCTCTTTAGCTTCTGACTGGCTCATGATAAAGCATTTTGTGATGGTCTGTATGAAGGACTAAATAAAAACAAACTCTGTTGTGTACAGGATGTTAAGAAGCTTCACAAGCAGATTCAGAGATGTTACGCAGAAAACCGCAAGGCATTTCATCCTGTGCAGGTAAGTTTGAACAAACTGAACGCTGACTGTTGCCAAGTACCAAACATGAGAACTATAGTAGGAAGAGAAAATATTTAAGCTGCCTCTTTCATAAGAAAATTACTTCTATTGTAACACCCACATGTTATAAGGATACACCTATATATTGAACAGTATGTGCATACAGATGAAAAGTGCCAGATCCAGGTGTGCCAGTAAGAGGCTGTTGATACTCTGGGTTTTAGCTGTGGCAGATTTTTTAAGAACTCACTATAAGTCTGAATTTGTCTTTTAAACATATCACTAACTGTATGAATATGGTCCTAGTACCACTTCCATCTAAAAAATATTAAGAGTTTTAGCTAACGGTTAAGGGTAGAAAGAGAGGAAACAGATTGTGGCAAATTGACGTTTCTGTATTTTGTACCTCTTGTTTGTTCTGTTTGAAGTTTTACTTGACCAGCCATGGGGGACAGCTGAAGACCAATATGAATGAAAATGACAAAGGATGGGTGAATTGGAAGGTGAATAATTGAGTATTTCTGTAAAAAGTTAAACTTGATATTGTTAGTTGTGAAGAACATGATTTTTTTCCACATGGGTTTTTGTAATACATGTGAGCAATACCATATTTGAAAAAGTGTAGCTTTTTGTCCTTTTAATTGATTTAACTTTAATAAGCCAAAGACTGCTTCTCTTGAATCTAGATTTGATTTTTGCTTGAAAAACTACACACAAATCCATTTTCACTTACTTTTTTGAATGAATTCCATTCTTGATAGACTAAGCTGGACTCCTTGATTTAGGCAGTTCCAGCAGTTGTCTGTCTTGGCAGTGCTCTTTTATCCATGTCCAAAACAAGACTTGCCAGTTGGGATGTGATTCTCTGGTGTGCACTTTCACTTTCATCACGTTCCTCTCAGTGCTGAAGCGTTCTGGAGAGTAGTAGCCTCTCCTATGGTCAAGCTCGTGTTGGTTTTCATTGTGACTCCCTGTTAAGCCACTATTCCAACAACTGCAATGGGACAGCACATAGAACAAATAAAAGCAGTCCTGTTTCCAGCAGTTCTTGTGCAATAGCTGCTCCATGAGAGCTTAGTATAAACTTCTTTTACTGAACAATTAATGTTAACTAAGCATTTGCTTCTGGGTTCACTTTTCTTAATGGACTTGAAAACTACTTGGATCCATAGGAGAAATATGGCAACATTTGAAGGGAATCACAAGAACTTAAGGACTTGTAAAGTTCTTTTGGGTTTCAGGAAATTTCCTGTTGATTTTTACAACTCAGTGCTCTAGGGACTGGATTGTTTACACAGAAAATAATTTTGCACTGTGCTACGTATTTGAACGTGAAGGAGGAATGTGGAATGGCCACAAACTGTTGGATTTATTTTGCCAGTCCCATCTTGGGTCTGTAAAGCTTGGCCAGCACTTCATCAGTTGAATGTAACTTCTTTTAACTACCTTCTTTTGAGGATATCCAAATTAGAACAGAGCACTATAGTGAGCTAATAAAGAAAGAAGACCTAGTATATCTTACCTCAGATTCCCCAGACCTTCTCAGAGAGCTTGATGAGAAGAAAGCCTATGTGATTGGAGGACTGGTGGATCACAATCACCACAAGGTAAGCTGTGGGTCTGTTTCTTTGAGGCTTTTTTTTTGGCACCTTATTTGACATTATTGCTGTTCATATGTAAACTAACATAATTAATAATGAGAAATCTTCTTCAAAAAGGAATTCCAAAAAATGTTGAAGAAATGTGAAAAACACTTGTAGTGGTAGCAGTGGCTTGTGTTCCAGAGTTTTCTTATTCTTTACTCTTCCTCTGAAAAAATACTGAGTGACTAAAACCTGAATAGCTTTGTACTTTACATAAGCTCACCTTTAAAACAGGCAACAGCTGATGGTTCTAGAGCTGCAGCTGCATGAACAGGTTTCATTTACAATCCTTTTGACCACAGGTCGCAGTGTGACATGTATAGAAAGTAGTGAGTTTTCCAGTGGTAGTAGCCCTTGAGGAAGGTGCTGTCCAATCCGGTTAAGTTTCTTTTGTAACCAACTTCTGAAGCAACAGCATGGCAACGCAGGCAAAACTCTTGCCAGGAAATGATACTTGCAGTGAATCTGTGTGGGCTGATCTGAAACAGGTATTCTCAATCCACTTGTTTTGGTGTCTTTTCCCCAGGGAATTACTTACAGAAAAGCTATAGAGCAGGGAATTGGTCATGCACAGCTCCCACTTGGAAACTTTGTCAAAATGAACAGTCGGAAAGTGTTAGCTGTCAATCATGGTAAGTTCTAAATCACAAAATAATTACATTATTTTAGAATATACCTGTAATAGTCACAGTTCAAACCCACTGCACTGTAGTGCAGATGCCTAAACCTTGTTTTATTATGTTGATGTTTCTTGAATTTAGTTGCCTTCAGAATACACTAATTGCCGTGACCTTTAAATATTATGGATATGGTTGAATGTAAATGATGGTGCTTAGCCATTTAGAAGTGAACATTGTATCCTGTTGGCTTGTCTGAGGATTACTTGTGGCTTTCTTACCATCCTGGTCTTGTTTCCAGGTTTACTCTATAAGTGGGTAAAATGTTGGAAACTATCCAACATTGTATTTTTTTGTAGGGTACACATTTCATGCCAAGGGAGGATGAATGTTTGTGATGTTTTCACCTCTTTCAACAGCTTTGTTCAGCAGTAACTGCCTCAGTACCTGTAGACTTTCCTCAGTTGGTATCAGCAGTACTCCAGCTACTGAACTTTCATAACTGTATTTTTACCTGATTTCCTGGTTCTGATTGAAGTATTAATGGCTTAACCAAGCCTTGAATCCTGCTCCTTTTAAACTTTCAGCTTTATTATTAGATTGTCTTTCAGTGTCATTAAACAAAAGTACATGCAAAATGCAGCCTACTCAGACCTTCATGGAAATTTTTGACATGGTGTCAAAGTCCTTATTGTGCCCCACTGCACATTCTTTAGCTTATTTTACCTTGCTTTATTTCAAGTTTATTTTTTTATGTAACACAGTGCTCAATAGTAACTTTATTTTCTGAAAGTGCCGTATTAATGAGGCTGGCATTTGCATGATAATAACGATTATTTAAGCATGGAGGAGGATATAGTATGCCACGGGACTTAAAAATTATCAAAAAAATTATCCAAAATCTTATGTATTTGTAAGATTTTACATGTTTCTAAAATTGGATCTTTTACTGTTGCTTTATATAGAAAGGAAGAGCTAATTAGAGCTAATTATAGGAGGGGTCAAAATCTTTATTAAAGTGCATCCACAGCAGGATTCCTGTCAAACATGTGAAAGCACTGGTGCCTGTACAGAAGGCACTGGTGAGACTGAAGTATTTGTCTCAGTCCCTGAGAGAAATACTGTCATGCAGCTGGAGACTTGGGGTCCTGCTTGGCTTCAGGCTGCAGTAGTAGCAGAATTGCAGTGTCTGTTCCTGCCTGCATTTCATCAGTTCTGCTCTGAAGAAGCCACAAGAGAATGCACCTAAACCTCTGTAAAGATGGATTTGGGGGTGTGTTGCTATCAGCAATTCACTTACCTCCCTGTAAAAGAGCTGATGGCTTTTCTAATGTTGCAGTGTTTGAGATCATCCTTGCATACCTGGAGAAGAGAGACTGGAAAGAGGCCTTTTTCAGTGTCCTGCCACAGAGGAAGGGGGCTGTTCCTTTGGGAGAAGCCAATGATTCATCCAAACATGCTCTGTCTGGAAAAGAAGATGAAGACAATGACTCGGACAGCAGCTAGGCTTCAGAATTGGATGATGGGAAAGACGAGACATGCAGTTTGTGGAATAAAACTGGGACAGGAAGGAGTTTTACTTCAAAGACGATCTGCAGCCCTTGTAAAGCTGAATTGTCTCAGTGCTCGGTAGTCCCAGAGCTGTTTCTGTGCATGAAGGGTTAAGTTAAATGCAGGTTTTACCCTGAAACTTCAATATAATAGCTTTTTAAAAGAGAGGGAAAAAAAAAGAAATTAATGGAAAATGCTGCATTTTTTCCCAGGGAAGCTGGTTAATTTAATTTTTTAAATATTATTTTTTTTATACATACCAAGTTGGATGTAAATTCCAAGAGCATTAGTAGTTAATATTTTAATGTATGCATTCTTGTTTCTATTTCTGTTCAAAAGTTTTCTTAAAAGCAGTGAATGACAAGTGCTCCTTTGGTTCCAAAACCTGTACCACCAGTGCCTGCTGCAAAGTGTGCATGAACACTCAAAACAAAAATTCTGATTTTCCTGAGCATCTCAACAGAGAATCACAAGCAACTGAACTGCCTGATTTATATATTGTGTTTAGTTAGCTGGGGTCAGTAGGTGAAGTATGAATGTGGGGTTAAGCCAGTGCTTTATACTTGAGCCTGAGAGGGATGGGTGTTAGCACAGGTGCAAATCCTGTGCCTTGGTAGGCACATGGTGCACACTGAGGTGACTCAATCACTTTTGATTATTCCTTCATATTCTCAGCAAAATTTATCACACAGCCTCAGAACAACACCAGGAGAGAGGAACTCTTCCTTACAGGTCACTCAGATTCAGTATTACTGTGTAATCACAGGATCCTGTATGTATTGTATTGTCTATCAAATATTTTTCCTTTAAAAAAAGGTCATAATCTTAGTCTTGGATGGATGTCCTGTTTCCGATTCTTTACCTGACTTCAGTGCTGTGGCAGAGTAGTGAAGTGGACATCTTGGAAGTGAGGCTTTGCTTCAGCCCTGTGAGCCTGCCTATCCCTCTCTTCTCCAGGGAGTAGCCAGGTAGCTGCAGTGCCTGAATAAGTGCACCTCTCACACAGGTTTTTCATGCCTGAAGAGCTTGAGGTCATGGCATCTTAAGTGTTCCTCTCTGCTGAGCTGCAGTCAGAGGGCTGATTCAACTATGATTTGCCTTGTGCCCGTTTTTCTTCTTCCCTTTGTTGTTCCTGCTTTCAAGTGGAGACTGCAGGTGGGATCCCTGTGGCTCCCTATGGTCTGTAAAGGCTTGGCACCCAGCTGGTTATGACTTACACTCTTGGTGCACTTCTCTCTACACTTTCTAAAAGGCCAATAGAAAAGTTTCTTCTGTTAAAAGGATGGATTGTGGTTGGTTGCTGAAGGTCCACAGGGCTTTTCTTAGGCTTTAAAAAAGTGTGATTGCTTTGTTGCAGAAACTAGATCAGCCTTTTCATAAAAGCATTGCTGGTTTTATTTCTGTAACAAAAAAGGCAGCATAAGTGTACCCAGCATGCATAACACTGATTTTCTAACTGATATGTGTAAAATTTCAAGGAATTACACCTTTACAGCTGAGAGAACCTTATGTTAATGCAAGTAGCACCTACTAAACCTGATCTAAGACTCCTCGGTCTGTCCAAGGTTTCCTTAAGATCATTTCATATATGTGCCTCATTTACTCAGGCTTGAGAGTATAGTAGCTCAGACAAACTGGGGACTTTTAGAGACAGGCTGAAAGGGTTCCAAAGCATCTTACAGAACTGTTGTGCAACCTTAAACACAGCCTTACAACATTACCAGTGAAATAAGATACACACACCTACACACATCCAGGTGTTTTAAAGTCCAGCTGTTTAGATCTGAAGCTTACCTGGCTATGGAGAAATAGAAGGAAAACATAGTCTGGGGTATGTTGCTGTTCAAAGGCAGCTCATGCCAACTGTGTCACAGCAGCTCAGTGGCTGCTGCCTGTTCATACACATTGCTTGTCTCGCCCACACAGTGGGGTCTTCCTGTCCCCCATCATAAGAAGCGTGGCCAGCAGCTCAAGGAAGGTGATCCTCCTGCTCTGCTCTGATGAGACCCCACCTGGATTGCTGTGGCTAGAGCTGGGGCTCACAGCATATGAAGCCCATGGACCTGTTTGAGCAAGTCCAGAGGAGGCCATGAAGATGCTCAGAGTGCCAGAGCACCTCTCCTGCAGACAGGCTGGGAGAGCTGGGGCTGTTCAGCCCAGGAGAAGAGAAGGCTTTGGGGAGACCTTACAGCACCTTCCAGAACCTGAAAGGGAGCCTACAGGAAAGCTGTAGAGGGACTTTTTACAGGGACAGGTAGTGATAGGACAAGGGAGTGGCTTTTAACTGACAGAGAGTGGGTTTAGGTTAGATATTAGGAAGAAATTCTTCACTATGAGGATGAGGACTTTTAATTGTTTTTCATTTTGGATTTGCATATTGTGTACAAGTTATAGCACTGTTTGGCACTCTGGTGCTCTAGTTTGTGGCATGCTACTTAAGAAAGCACATTTATTCTTCATTTTCAATTTACAGACCTGGCTGCTCTCAATATTTTCAAGATGACCACTTGCATATTTCTGGCATGGCCTACAAATGCATTACACTGGAAGCAGAGAGAAATCACTGTACTGTTTTATAATAAGAAATGACAAGGATTTTGTTTCTGATAACAGAAATAAATATTTACATGTAGTGCTTTAGGGCACTTCTTACAGAAAGATCTTTCTTTGAACCACCTTTAGCTGTACGAAGTTAATGCAACTGTAGGAAAAAACACTGGGAAGTTGTCTGCTTCACCCTGCTGTCCTCAGGGAAGATCAGCTCTGACAAGCTTGTCTAACCAAGACTTAGAGACCTCCAGTGTGATTTGTTCCTGGGCCACAATGTTGAAGAACAGAACATTAAAAAAACAATCTGCACAGAAGCTCTAGAAGAACAGGATCCCTGTGTTTCACCACCAGGCGTCATTGCTGAGCTTAGGAAAGTTCTGACTGATGAAACTTTCATCACTAAGCTTTGTAAAGTTTCAGGTACTCCCAGAACTATTGCTCAGCAATGCTGGGCAGCAGAAAACATCCCGAGATCTTTAAACCTGTGTAGGAAAGCATTAAAAAGGCAATAAAGAGGTATGGCTCAAGGAACCTGAAAAGAAAGAAACAGAAAATAGGAAGGGGATATGGCAGAAAGTCAAACCTCACTGAAATGGGCTAACTTTCTTTTAGTTTCATGCAGTGGGGAGGTCACAGCAAGATGCCATAAATAATCCTGTTGTTTTGTTCCCTTCCCACTGAGCCTCAATCTCCTTGGTTCAGATTTCTGAAGTCAGGAACATCAGCAGTGTTTATCTGCATCCATGTTGTGACAATTTCCCAAACACTGTACTGCTGCAGGTTACTGTACTTTCCCCCCTTCTTGTCCATTTCCTGGATTCAGGTCAATTTGCCTTTGCTTTGGCTTCCACATGTCCCATATCCTCATTGTCCCATTGTCCCACATGTCCCATACTGCTCCATGTTTGCTTATGGAGCAGTAGTGTTTGATTCTAGACATGACTCTGCAGAAGAGCACCTGAGTAGGAAAGAGCCTCTCTGAACTGCCCCATCTCAGAGGCTTTTGGTCACAAAGTTGACAACGATGGTGGGTTTCGCATGCTGCTCAGGGGTGTAGCTGTCCAAGGGGATCCACACTCATGGTTATTCCAAAATCCTGTGTGCATGACAAGGCACATGTGCTCAGGGCAGTCTTGGGGCAATGTGACTGCCAGCTGCAGGAGTGCAGGGTGCAGTATTCCTAAAATCCTTAGAGCTTGAGGATAAGGTCAGGGAAGTTTGAAGAGTTCAGTGTTTCTCTGATTTAAACAGAACTTTTTATTGCTCACACTGTGCTGTAGATCATCCTGAAGATCACAGCTTCACTGCACCATTATTGGCTCAATTATTGTAAAGTATCCATTTATTCTGCAGGAGGGCTTTACAATAAGCTATCATTAAGCACACATTCTTCTTATCATAAATTATTGAAAAGCAGAGGTGGACTTCAGTGTGACTTCCAAATCTAAAGCTAAATAAACGTTGGCCCATCTTTGAAATGTGTACCTTGTCTCTCTTCCAAGAAGGTGGCTTTGTTAGCTGGAACAACAGCATCTACTACTGACAATCCTAAAGCCAAATAATCAAATGTTTGATTCATATTTATTCCCTTTTGCTGCATTTTTACGTCAAGTACTGTAAGATGTACTTTTTAATTTCTTGTTTGCCTTGTTTGGCTGTGGTAAGAGACCTAAAAGGAAGAAAAGGCATTATTTAAAAAAGGGGGGTTGATGCTTGATTGAGTACTCTCCTTGGATATTATTTTCCCCTTCAAATTCTTCTAGTACTTGCTCTAAACCCACCAGCCAATTTACACCTTTCACCTTTAGCACTTCTTCAGCTTATTGAAATGAATAAGGCATTGTCCTGTGAGCAGTTGATTTATTTCCTGTGTGTGTTTGGAAAGGTGTTTATTTCTAGATGTCTGTGTTCATGTTCTCACAAAACTGGATGTCATCCTGTACGTGCTTAATTCAGCTCCATTGCCTTGTCATCCACATGTATAATCTTCAGACACGATCCCTAAGCTTTTTGAAGGCATAACCTGCCCAGCCAGCTAGTTCTGCTCAGTCTCTGTGCTTCAATAATAATGAGCAGTTGCAGGCTTTAGTATTTTGTATACCTAATCTTTTGGACATTCTTAAATGTGCAGGTGGGAAAATATAAAGGGGTTGGAGCACTCACAGCTTCTATACTGTGTAGGGTGGGACTTCAGAAATGTTGCTCTTTTTTTCCTATCTTCTACCAACATGCGTGTCCCAGAGCTTTTGTGTTACCAAGTTCTTCAGAACTGATTCATAAGAGGGTAATTTGGAAAGTGCTGTCACACAGTAGGAAGAAATGCTGGATTTTCAATTTAAACACCCTCCAGAAGGTTTATGTTTCTTAACAGCCAAGTTCACTGTCTGAAAGAAAGAAAGGTACCTTGGTAAGCTTAAACATCAACATGGTAAATAAGGAAGAAGTAACCTATTTTTAAAAATGCTAAAGTTTTAGCTAAAGCTAGTATGCATTTTATTATTTGTCAGTTAAATCTGTGATGCATAACTGCTCTTAAAAGCTTTTTTTGCTGTTGTTGTTCTCTAAAGAGCTATGTCACTTGAGCTGTGGTTAAAATAGTCTCCTGTTAAATAGAGCCGGGTTCAGTGCAGAACTAATTTTTCATGACAAGAAAGCTGTTTCAGAAAGCACTAGCTCTCTTCACCTGGAGTCAACATCATGCACTGCTTCAGGCAAGCAAGCAATGCAAGGTTGCTCAGCCCTGGCAGGAGTAAGGAGTGGGAAGCAAGCTGTGCTGCCTGGGAAGTGGCAGCAAAGAACCACTTTCCCCTACAAGTGCCTTGTAGGCAGAAACTGTAGCTATGACTACAATCTGCTGAGCATGGTCAGTGTTTCATAACATTTGCCCAAGTTACAGTCCCCAAGTGAAGATAACCTGGAGTTGCAAGAACAGGCCTTTGCCCACTGCTTCTGTGTGCAGGCTCACCAGCCTTGAACACCTCAAGTATGCTCTTTGTCTTCAGCCTCTGACACACATTTCACTGTAATCTGCTGAGGTTAATAAATCACTGGAGAGGGGATATTACTGCATCATGTTTAGTTGGATAAAGTGAGATAAAAAAATGATAAAGGAATTATGCACCATATTTCCATAGAATTACAGGCTATCCTGAGTTGGAAGGGACCTACATCAAAGTCCAACTCCTGGCCCTGTGCAGGGCAGCCCCAAGAGTCACACCCTGTGCCTGAGAGCATTGTCCAAATCCTTCTTGAATTCTGTCAGTCTGGTGCTGTGACCACTGCCT